CCCCCCCCCCCCCCGCAGAGGGCTACCGAGAACATGCGCTTCCCTAATACTGCCTCGCAGTTAGCAATAAGATGTACAGAGGATAGAGATGCTACGTTGATCTAAAGCCGGGTGACACTGGGGACATTCCCTGTACTTAACCCTCAAGAAATTTCATGAAATATCCATGAGGCCGGCTCATACTCTCCCAGGAGCCAGCCGCCGTGAAGTAAAGTAAGTAATGACCGTATATGCACAGATATACAAATACGACGAAAATATACATACCTCTTCGCATAAACTTGACTCGTTTGCCAGATTGCAGGGTTTCAACTTGTTCAGTTTGAAGCTGTTTCATGGCTTTTTTTCGGAAATCCCGATCACGCGCAGAAGCTTCACGTTGCCGCAATAAATGAAGAGCTCGTTTTATCTTGGCCAAATTGTCGGGATCTTTTTCTTTCGAAAGCATTTTCCGCAGTTTCTGAAAATAATACGTAAATTGCGTGATTTTGTTGTCTGAATTGAACTTGTGGTAAGATATATAAGGAATGTTCTTACCTAACACTTGGTACTTGATATTTCTCAAACAGTCTGTTTCTTCAAATGCGATGGAAATGTTTGTGATAACCGACAGAGAGTGCCTGGTGCCTCTGAAAAATCGAATGGGCTAATCCGAGCTTGATACTCTAAACTGATTGAGCCATTCGCACAAGGTGATGACCATCGGCCGTGTAACTCAGGGATAAGGGTTTGAAGTACCAACCCGACTGATTGCGGTTCGAGTCCTGACAGGGACACAAAAATTATGCACTGCTGACGATTCCCAAACAGGATGAAACAGCTGTCCAGTGCTCTTTGTTGATTATCACAAACATTTCCATCGCATTTTAATGCATTTCCTCGTGGAGAATTCAGTTCAGTTCAGTTTGTACAACTATTAACCACGCATATTCGTGCGCCGGTTTTGTTTGCTGTCTTCTGGCTGCCCATTTGGATGAAGAATATGAGAAGAAAGGAAGGTTGAAAGTGGAGTCGAACAGAAAACGGAAAAGTTCCGTGGTCTAAGGTTGCAAAGAAATTGAGAAGATGCACGAACGCCACTGTTTACTACACCCAACCATATCACTTAGTGTCTCTAACCATCGATTACGATCGTGGAGAATTAAAGATCTCTCAAGGAGTGAAACCCACGCCCAAGACCATCAAAAGTGCCTGGTGCCTCTGAACAATCGAATGGGTTAATCCAAGCTTGATACGCTAAAAAGTATGTTTCTTGTTCATCAAATATTACAGCCGCCGTGTAAATCCAGAGCAACGTCAAATGCACCAATAGCAATCAATGTTAGGAGACACGATATCCAATGTTCTCCCATATAGCACGGTTACAAAGAATTCCAGAGTAGCCTTAAGCATAACCGTGACAAAATTCACCAACCAACCGGTGATTTGGTGTAGACCCAGAGCGCATCGAGGTGTTTTGGGTACCATGGATGTTTGGCCCCATCTAATAATGTTACCACGCCTCCACAATCAGGTGATAATGAGTCACATAGGCGAATCGCGCTTGGATGCTGTGGGCTAATCTCCGGTGAAGATAGACTGGGTATGGATAAATGAATTACTCCAACAAACGGTAATGTGGGGACGCAACAATTTAGACAAGTGAGGTGGTGCTCGACAAAGAATTCTGAAGACTGATCCACGATTTAGTAGACCGGAGTCAGGGATTTTTTATTACAAACTTGAGTGTGATGAACAGAAGATGGGGCGAGCCCCATAGTCACGAGGACCTGCTGCTCAGTGATGGAAACCAGTAAACTAAGCCCCGGGATTTGGAGTGGCGAGCCACATAAGGCCCCGATAAGTTAGGTGTGACACTGAACCGAAAGACAGCAAAGCTGCCTACCACCAAGGTTGGGTGGCAGTGACGGGGCTCGAACCTCGAACCAAAGGGTTCAAAGCACGCCGGTGACAGCGACTAAATCACTGCGTCACCAACACTACCGTTCAGGATTCTACAAAAAGACTACTATTCAAAGGTTAAGGTAGTGAGAGGATCCTTTGTTGATGTCAGTGTGTTGTACGCATTTTCAGCCTCCTTGGTTGTTTATTTGTTTCAATGTCTTTGCAGCATCACTTGCATCGACCGAACGGCGAGGAAACTGTCCCAATGGATTAAAGAGCATTTTTCACATTTGCAGTGACACGGAAAGCACTGTTTTCTTTCATCTAGCATGTGTGTGGAAAAAGCAGCTGTCTGGTGCTCTTTGTAGGATATCGCATACGAACTTCCATAGCATTTACAACATAGTAATGTAAAGAAAGACTGATTAGTGACCGTTTCTCATTATCGGCGAGCCTATTTGAGTCAATTGATTTGTCCATGCAATATGATCAGTTCGTCAGTTTGGCGCCCACCGGCAGATCTTAATCGACGACTCCGATACTTCTCACGAAACACTNAACACTGATCTCATTCGAGCTATCTTGTAATTGATAACCTCCTGTTAACAACCGCCATTCTTCGAACTAAACACGTGCAGTTTGTCTTTAGCTCAGAAAAAATCACATGTAGGTACTGGTAGAGATAGTGTTTGTAATCTCCATCACTGATACGATTTGGGCCATAAGGTCCCAGGTTCGAACTCGCCATCATCGCCACCCTGCTTTGAAATTTGGCAGTCTCTCTGTTCGCCAGATCCAGTTCAGTCAGGTTCAGTGTGGTACACCACTTCAACTCGCGATCCTTAGACCGCCAGTTATCATCGGTTGATGTTAGGTTCCCGTGCTTACAGGGTTCACACCTTAACATCATGCAATGGTTTGTAAAAAAAGGTTTAGTTCAACTAGCCAACAACGGCTGTTTTAAACTGTGATTCAAACACGCAGTCTTGGAACCAAAAATCGTATAACTTCATAAATCTTTAAGTGGTCTTAATCACAGAGATCAATCACTCGGGCTTGTGCGCCAAAAATGAAGAACAAAAATTCAAAAATAAGTTTGCAACCATTTTCGTTGTTAAATGATTCAATGCTAGATCTAACCATTGGATGGCCTTCTCACACCCTTCAAGTTCACAAGTCCGAATCCTAGAGCTAAGAGTACTGATTTCGACGAACTGAATGAATTCTCGTGACAACGGGGTTCATTCTTTTTTCTCTTCATTACATAATAAAAAACAAAGAAGTAATA